TCGGATAAGCCGTTTCTGAGATTAGCGTGAACAGACAAACAGACAAACAGACAAAAAAAAAGTTAGTTACATTTTTGGGTTCGACATCGACATAACAATATCCCCTGCTATTTTTTTTATTTTTATTTTCAATGTACAGACAGCACTTTTCTACAATTTTATTATATGTATAGATAACTTCGTTTAGTAATAGTTTTGATTGGTTTTATCTCTACCCCAATCCTTCGCTGAAACTATAGTTGATCGTCTCTTCAATCATAATGTATTAATGGTTCTATCAAGTCTACACAATATAATTTAATGCAGCTCTGACTGAAATGAATAGAAGAAACGTAGAATTAAGTACACGGACTGCAGTTGGACGATAATGGCTGGATAAAAAAAAGAAAATTCACGTAAAACAACATTTCGACAAGTTAACCTTATTTCTAACTTATACATATTAGAGGTATTTACTCCGTTTACTAGGCTCCCAGTCACAGTTAAAAGCAGATTGCCAGCATAATCGAGGAGTTACTTGAAACGTCTCATAAACGCGCTTGCAATCATTACACGAAGAGGCAAGAACACCTATCTCTAGAGTAATAAACTGTGTTATACAAAACTCGTAGCTAGTGGAGACCGCACCTTTATAGAGTTAAAGTTGTTAGTAGACTGGAAGCTAGAACACTTAGCTGTAGATAGACAGTGATAAACAAGAAGAGACATGGCCGCCGGACGCTGTTACTGGAGTGTGGCCACTTGTGCGCTAAAAGCTGAGTACACAATGGATGGTTAGTTCGTCACTTACTTTCATAAAGATTATGATATGATACGAGTGATTTAACTCTTCGAGTACCGGTTTTGTAGACACAATTATAGAACAATAGGTTGCGGTCACCGGTGACCGCTTGGTGTTTGACAGTTTAACAGCTAAGGCTAGCTTCTACTATCTCTGTTGCCCTGGTAATTTATTAATTGATTCATGCATCATCATCATCATCATTAATAGCCTGTTCTCCTCGACTGCTGGACATAGGCCTCTCTACGCATCCAACCACTACCAGCCACTTTGTGGATATCGTCACAATACATGCATACGGTAGCTAAATGGATTTTTATTTATTTTCTCATGTAATAAGTGTTTTATAAATTGAGAATATAGTAGAATATGCCTACAAAACAAATCGGACATTATCAAAATCTACGTTATTGTACACTAACCTACTTTGAATCAATACTCCCAAATCGCCGTGTCGCGGGTCGTGGAATGCTGCTCATGAATATAAGCCTCTAGCACGACTTGAAACTAGTCGAGTTTCTCGTCAAACAGTTACGTAAATAAGAACGATCTAACCCTGAAAAGTAGACGTCAATAATTCGCCACTCTGGGATAATTCTATCAAAATCCCTGCAAAAACAATTACCAATTGTCTCCGAATTTCTGACGTCGTCATTGTTCCTATTAAATTCCCTTATAGAAATCAATTGCGCTGACTCACGTGGAAAATGGCCGTCGGGTTGCTAATGAAAGGCTAATGACCGGGGAACCTTTGTCCTACGAATGATTTGCACATTCTCGCAACGAAATTTTGGTATTCTCGTCTTCTAAATCAGTGCAGCGAATGTGGGCAGTTTTTAATTGAAACTGTTTTAGGTAAAAGAATTTTGTTTGTGTACCAAATATATAGGGAAATTATTTTCTTAAACCAAACTGTGATGAAAAATTGAAGAGCACTATAGAAAGTAATACCTGTTAAAAGTTAAAGTCTTTTTGATTGATTGACACTGATTTAATAATAAGATAATCTTCTTGTTAAAAAGTAATGATCCCAATAATGTTGTACTTTTCTTGTATTTTCCAATGGCATAGTTACATAATCTTACAAAATTGCGACACCCTTCTAGGGTGTCGCAATTTTCGGAGGTTCCAAAGTTCAAAGCAAAATTTCAAAATTCTTTAAAATCCTATTGTAACCCAGCTTCCTTTAGGCGGGTATAAATAATATTTTCTCTTGTACAACGACTTCCTGATACCAGGACTGCATAAAAGCGTGGAGTAGTTAGCATACAAACGAGTGTAATCTGTGTTTTGTTGCAGGAACCGCATAGAGAGAACCGCGTCCAAACGATGGCGGGGCACCGTGCGGCGTATTGTGTCTGCTGCTGTTTGTAAGTATAGTAATATTTATGCATAACAATATAATTTTTTTTTTTTAATGGGGGAAAATCATCGAATGACTGCTCCCGCCTGGGTGAGGCGGGAGGGAGTGTCAGACTCTTACTGACTAAAAACCACCCCGTTCCTTCTCCTGCACGTCGAGCCGGAGCCCCGGTTACCCGTTAGGTTCTCCGCGACAACAATATAATATAAAAATTCATGCAAAATATTAAATCTCTAATGTAGTTATATTACATACTAGCTGTGCCCGCGACTTCGTTCGCGTAGAAAAAAAAAAAACGCTGCTCATAGTCACAAAGTTATTGTAAACTGTTTAAAAAAATTGTAACATTAACAAAAAGAGCACAAAATAACTATAATATTAAAACGTCACATAATAAATGTAAAACGGCATGGCGAATAATAAACAAAATGCGACTTAATGTGCCAAAAGAAACTATAAAAAATATAAAAATCAATGACACTAAGTATGTTACAAATCCAAAAGATTTAGCAAATTTATTTAATGATTATTTTATTGAAAAAGTGAAACCTATTCATGGAGCTGGAAAAAATGTGACAAATTTGATTAACCGTCCTCTTAACTCAATGTTTCTTGCACCTGTTTCGGCGCAACAGGTTAATAAAATCATTAAAAGTTTAAAAAATACAAACAGTGTGGGACATGACAGTATTTCCACGAAAATAATAAAATCTGTAAATGAAACCATCTCCCAACATCTGAGTCATATACTAAACCTATGCATTGCGAAGGGAATATTTCCAACACAGCTTAAAACAACAATCATTAAACCTCTGTTCAAAAAAGGGAATAGACAAATACTAGAAAACTATAGACCGATTGCACTTATACCAATATTTGCTAAAATATTTGAAAAATATCTGTACAGTGAAATGAACACATATTTAGAGAAAAATAATATTCTTTGCAATGAACAAAAAGGTTTTAGAAAAAACAAAACTATAAATATGGCCATTTATGAATTCATAGCCAATGTATTAACTCATGTAGATAAATCGTCTCCAGTATGCTCAATATATTGTGACATGTCACAGGCGTTTGATTATGTGCACCATGGTATACTAGTGGATAAACTTGAAGCCAATGGCATAAGGGGAAATGTTTTGAAATTGGTACAATCTTACTTGACAAACCGAAAACAAGTAACTGAAATAAATAGAATTAATATAAGTACAAAAACTGAGGTAACATACACCTCTACAACACGTGATATATCTTACGGTGTTCCTCAAGGCAGCGTTCTGGGGCCACTCTTATTCATTATTTACATAAATGACTTGCCAAAAACAATAACTCAACCTATGACATTGTTTGCTGACGACAGCACAATTATAATTCCGTGTAATGACATCTACCAATATAATTTAGATATTAACAATTCATTGACATCTGTAATTTCATGGCTTGATAATAATAATTTAAAAATAAATTTGACGAAAACTAGTATAATGCATTTTGGACAAAGATTATGTAATCCACTGAATGTAATTTTAACTCACGACAATTATAATGTGCAAGAAGTAACTGATGCGAAATTTCTTGGTTTAACGATTGATAGCAAATTAAATTGGAAAGAGCACATAACCGCATTAAGTAAAAAAATTAGTAGTTTATCGTATGTCCTGTATAGCCTAGGTCCAATAATTAACATCGAGGCATTGCTTTCAGCATATCACGGTCTTGTCGAGTCTGCTCTGAGATATGGTATAATTTTTTGGGGTAACTCGACAAACAAGGGCATCATATTTAAATTGCAAAAGCGGTGCGTAAGAGCCATGTTCCGTAAACAGAGTTCGGAGAGTTGTAGGCCATTATTTATAACGCATAAAATGCTGACAGTACCATCACTCTATATCTTAGAAGTAGCACTGTTTGTTAGAAGCAACTCTCACTTATTTCCCACTCTGGCTGATAAAGTAAAACGAAATCGACGTGACAACAATCGACTATGTATTCACCCATCTAAAACAGCACTAATGCATAAAAGCGTGATATGTATGGCTCCCATAATTTATAACAAAATTCCTAAAGAAATTATTAAATTAAATTTAAACTTATTCAAACAAGCGTTGAAAAAACTACTAGTTAATAAATGCTATTATAGTGTTCATGACTTTGTAAATGACAAATGTTTGTAATTTTTCTTTGTTGTCCCTGGTCAGGAGGTTTGAGTCTCTTATAGGAATGTTACAATTTAAAAGTTTAATAACTGTTGTAATTGGATTTAATATTATATTCCACATTTGTACACCAGAAATGGTCAAACATGTTGATACTATGCTCACTGCTCATCTGTACAACTTATAATGTGCATTTATGATGTATTATTATTTAACACGTGTTTTTGCAAATAAATAATCTTTGTCTTTGTCTTTGTCTTTGTCTTTGTTTTTTTTTTAAATCTTTTATTCACATTCAAATTTAAACATTACAGATACCATAGTATATTAAAAACAAACTAGTGTTCAATGTTACGAACAGCTAGCTAATGAATAATTCGGATCACGTCGCGGTCATCTTGGCAGATCGGTAATCGGGAACATTAGAACCATCTTTGTATAAGCAGCTCCGTGACTTGGAAGCAATTTGAAGGCACTTTAGGGCCGCAAATTGTATTATTTAAAAAAAATCTAGTGGTCTATGAAGCATAGCGATGCGATTATTTCCCGAAATGAAACATAGATACTCGTACACCTATTTACTCTCATTTTATAAATGTGTTTTCCTCTGTGCTGTTTGTGTGTACATAAATTATTGAATAAATGAAATAGATGATATGAAGTATAGGAAGTAAGGTCGCAGAAAGGCTCTCGCGCTGGATGCAAACTTTTTTTTTATATTTTATGGGCTGAATTTAATCCACCATATCTGGTGGTAAGCGACGATGTGGCCAACGATGGAGTACGCCTACCTATGAGCAGCCTGTTCACTCGGGACTTAAAGACATATTGGTCAGGAGACACAGATTCCGGCAAGGAATGCCATAGCTTAGTGATTTGCACACTGAAGCTTGTCGCAAAACGCTTCGTGCGAATGGGTGGAATGTCCATCATATAAGCTTGGCGCCATGCCTTCGTCTGGTAGTACGATGGTAAAACGGACTGGGGGAAATAAGGTTGTGCAAGTTCTATGAAGTATAGCAACACGAGCATTTCCCGATATGAAACATAGATATAAAGTATAGTAGGTAAGGTCGCAGAGGAATGTAAACTTGATGGTCACTTTCAACCGGTCCCTTGACAAGTCATTGAGGAAGCTTTCATTCAGCAGTAGATGTGTCCATGTGCCAGGGCTTTCTTAGACTACGCTAAGGTTCTTGGGCACACAATAATTTGGAGCCCTTTTAGAATGGTATTTTTTTTGTTTTTTTAACGTTGGACAAGGATTTTCTCCAGTATCGTCGGCGTCGGTGCGTTTACAAACATACAAGTTCACATACACATGTGTCAGACCAGAAACAACAATTTGTGGCACACACAAACATTTTCTCCATGCGTTACCGCGCAACTTGTAGCGGATGTGTTTCCATCGTAGAAATTATCGGTCTTTCGGGGCCTCCTGAGGATGGTGGCCCTGGGCACGAGCCCCGAGGGTCTTTTTTGTAAATAAGGTTCTGCTTATGGCTGATATAATAATGCGGTTTACAATTCCCGTACCTATCATCATTATCATCATCATCATCACCATCATCATCATTATCATCAACAGCCTGTAAATGCCCACTGCTGAGCAAAGCCTCTTCTCACACGGAGAAAGTTTGAGAATCAATCACCACGCTTGTTCAATGCGGGTTGGTTCCGTACCTATGCTGTAACTCAAAAATACTGCCCAAACTTTTCCACATACGGAAATTCTACTCGACACCTCAACGTAGTTGTGTTAACAACACAATTGCCTCGCGATTAACATAACATAACATAACATCACGCCTTTTATTCCTGAAGGGGTAGGCAGAGGTGCACATTATGTACAATGTAACACCCACTTTTCACTATCTATGTTATGAGACCCATGTACTAGGGGGTGAGCCTATTGCCATATACCGGGCACAATTCTAGACTCCGTGCTACTACTGAGAATTTTTTAAAAACCCAGTAATACTTTGCCCGACCCGGGAATCGAACGCGAGACCTCTTGCCCGGCAGTCGCACTTGCGATCACTCGATCAGCGAGGCAGCATCGCGATTAGTAGTTCTAATATAAGTATCTGCTGATTTTTTTTCTTCTTCTCCTCTTATAATATCTTCTGATTCAGTTCGTTGCGGGAACCAAGACAGTTACTCATGTCCCTAGGACGCGCCGGACTTCTGTGTTCTGGTGTTTTTATGGTTGTATCTACTGTAGATTCTGGCTTACAGGAGTTGCAACGGTTATGGGAGGCTGTGGCGGGCTAGTCTCATTAAAAAAAAAATAAGTATCTGCTAAACATTGGCATGCGTACTACGTATGTGTATCACAATATGGCAACAACACCCACCAAACCGTTATGAGACCAAAGGCGTATGAATTTAATAGGTAATCTCTGTGGCCTAGTACTCATATGTGAATTACTATTTAGAGGTGTTGTGAGTCACGTCACTGTCTGTGAATATGATTTAATTAAAGTAGGCGCTCATTTATATGGCCTCTCATTATACATTGCGTAAAATATTGTTTAAGCTAGCTGCATAATGTGTCTATATGTCATGTGTCGTGGTGGCCGGAGGTTGAAGACGTCTGCTTCTCATGCATGAAAGTTCGGGTTCGAAACCTACCAACAGCAAGTACCAATGTGACTTTTTTCGAGTTACATGTACTTTCTAAGATTATTTAGACACCACTGATAAACGGTGAAGGAAAACATCGTGTACTTATAATTTCTAACTATAAGTTTGAAATCGGCAACCCGCATTGAGCAAGCGTGGTGATTAATGCTCAAACCTTCTCCGTGCGAGAAGAGGCTTTGCTCAGCAGTGGGCATTTATAGGCTGTTGATGGACATGTAGCTGCATAAGCTTACGTAGTAAAACTTTGAAATCTTGGGCTTTATCAGGCAGCTTAGGCTTTATCCAGTTACCGAATCAGTGCAACTTAGCGGTCGCTCTTGAAACAGATTGACCAATGAACGACCAAGCAGCCCAATTACTCCGCTTCAAATAATCAAAACGGAAACAACTGTCAGACACAAAGCAGAAACATAATATAGCTACATTTTGCATATTTTAATCTACATTTCCATTGTCTAAACACTGTCACAAATGTACTGCAAAAACAGCAGGCGACCCGCCGCCGTCCGCATCCACAAACAGCTGTCCCAAATATCCGAATGATAATGTACGAGTAAACAGCCCATAAATACAGCTTTTTGCATTTCTGTTTTCCTAGTACCTACCTCTGTTACTGAATTTTAATATGGTTTTGCAATTCTAATTGTAGTTCTGTTTGAATTGTTTTGATTTATTATTTAAAATGCTGTTTAGATACTTCGTTTGTTGTAGTAAGACATCTTATGAATTCCTTTCAATAATAACAAATGGCATTCTGTTTTTTGCATCTGTATAAGTGACATTACACAAGGAACCAAGCAAAAATATGACATGCGGCTAGTTTCCTAGGTTTAAAATAAATTGTTTCAAAGTCAAAGTCAAAGTCAAAGTCAAAATCATTTATTTCAATTAGACCAGGATGGCACTTTTGAACGTCAAACAACAAAAATTTATAAGTGAAGCTAGTTGCTCATTCCAAGGCGTAGATTCCTATGGAGAAGAACGAGCAAGAAACTCCATAGGTTACTCTTTTTCAATCAGGTTTACAATACAATTCTCTAGTTACATAGTTTTATTGGTTCGATTATGTGAGAACAATGCAACACCCAAATCCAGTCAGAAAGACTGAAAAAGAAAATAACCTTGAGGATAATAAAATAAAATGATACAGTCTGGAGCTGACCAGTTCCAATCGACGGTGCCCGTTCACGAACATCATACTCAACGTTTCAATGCAATAAATAATAAAAAAATAATCATACTCTCGTCCATTGATTTGACAATTAACCTACTTTTGGATATTTTCTCGCTAACTTTAAAGAAATAAATATGTTATTTGACGCAGAAATATGATGACGTCATAAGTTGCGATCCTATACAAAATTCATAGAAAAGTATCGTTTGTTTAACATTTCAATAAAAGATTTGACTACCTGTCAACTACCGTATTCTGATTAAGTTTTCTTCAGTTTGATATAAACTAACGTCTACTTACCCTGAACTGTTTCAAAATAATAAAATGGTGTCAAAACTTTGACACCAAAAGCAAATTAGTGGCTCATATTCATGAACGAAGCGGCGACTGTCGAGTTGCTACTGGCAGTCGTTACGTGAGTAAGCCGAAAAACATGTGTCAGTTAAATTATGTAACGAAGATAAATTCAATAAACAGACCACTAAAAAACATTAATCTTGTTTATTTTGATTAATTCTGTCTTTGTCTTTCCAGATAACCTGTCCTGTTTTACCCACGGATGCAGTACAGGGTGGGTGTCAGGAGTACTAGGGAGCGAGGCTTTAACAGGAGGTGCCTGGTTAGCCGCTCTACCGTGCCTGGTCGCGTTACCAGCTGCACCATTTTTCGCGGTGCTAGCTGATGCGAGAGGACGCAAGGCTGGGGCTTTTTGTATCTGCGTTAGTTTTATTGTAAGTTAATTTAATTTTACTTTACGTAATTTAACTGTAAAATTATCAATACTTCATTATTTTTAATGCAAACAAAATTAATATAGGCCCTTTGCTCTTTCCAGATAAGCTGGTCCTTAGCAGCATGGTGTGGTCCCCGAGGAGTGTGGGCTGCCAGGGTAGCAGCCGGTGCAGGAGGTGCAGGTGCACTCGCATTGGCACCACTGTATTGTGCCGAAATCGCTCCAAGAACAAGGGGATTGGCCGCGATGCCTTCATTAGCATGCAGGTAACTAACCTATTAATAACAGCTCTAAATCTTGACTTTAAAGAAAGCTAACTTGTAAGTAAAAGAACGTATTAAGTTTATTATTTTGAAACTAAAAAGTAAAATACTAAGAAACCAGAAGCCACAGGTGATCACAATTTCTGCTATCACATTTCAGTTGCGGCATTCTATTTGCGTACGCAGCCGGCGGTGTACTGTCAGCACATGCACTGTCACTATCAATGGCGATACCACCTTGTGTACTCCTAGTATCACTGATCTGGTTGCCAGAGACACCTTCGTTCCTCATTAGCGTCGGGAGGATACAGGTAATAACAATTTTGGACAACCGAAAATCGAAAAAAAAATGTTACTCGGCTTCCTAACAAGATATTATATTTTTTTTACTTAACAAGTTTTTCGTTGGTACAGGATGCAGCAAAAATAATCTGCTGGTTCGATGGTTCTGACTTCCGAGAAGATCTGACAGATGTGATAGAACAGCAAGAAGTCAAGATCAGGACTTCAGACTGCTACGGGAGACGGGATCCCATACGTAGGCAGGACTCGGACACCTTCCAGCCGATGCTAAAGAGAAGCAGTGGCCTGGACTCTAATTCTGAGAAGAAAAGAGAGCAGTCGGCTTGTAGGGAGCTATGTAAGTTGACAAACCCTGTGACCATTTGAGAGTATTAAAACTATGTCGATGAAAAATCGATCAGAATTGTATATCTTCACGTTTCATTAAATATTGTTTGTTACATCGAATCTTTATGTTCTTAGTAAAACTTTTCTGCAATTGAAAATTCCGATATTTTTCCTGGTCCATAGGTCATATACCCACCCTCTTTCTGTCTGATTATTCCAACTAATAAGTATCTTAATCTATGTATTTTCAGTTCGTCATCGACGTACGCGTCGTGCACTATTCTCATGCCTAGTACTATTGAGTGCCGCTGCGGGCAGTGGCGCCGGAGCAGTCAACAGTTTTGCAGCAGCAGTACTGCGACACTCCACGCATAGTGTGCCCCATCTTAACGTTACAGCTTATAATTTTACTATGTATAATGGGTAAGATATACTTAGTAAAGTCGTGGTCTCAGAATTTATGTATCTTTAGTTGAGAATAATGAATACTAGATTTCCATTTCATTTTCGCTATTTCCAGAACTGCGCCTCGCTCATTGTTCGAACCATCAGAGGCTGGCTCCATACTATGCGGTACTGCACTGGTCCTTGGAGCCGCAGTTGCTACTGTCTCTGTAGACAAACTTGGTAGAAAGGTAAAAAAGGCTGTTTTATTACCTCGTGACAATATGGCAATCAATCAGTGAATTAAACTTTAATCACGTTTTATTTATACTTATAGATGCTGCTACTCTGGTCATGTTCAGGAATAACCTGTTGCCTCGCAATACTAGGAGCGTACTGTGACCCCAACATACGTCTGTACTCCTGGTACTCTCACCGCTTGTGGCCTTACAAACGAACGCACAATATCAAGGAGAAGGGCCTACAATTGACAGAAAACTTCACACAAGTTAATGCAATTCCAGAATGGAAGAATTATACGAACGATAGTTCTAGGTTTAGAGTGGTACTTGAGAATGGTAGTGTTCCTGGAGAATGGAAAGTTCAGAATTTGACTAATGTGGTAGAAGATGCGGAGAAGCAAGAAGAAAATTTATGGGCCCCTGTAGCTTTGATGTCAGTGGTGCTGTTTTTGTACAATATAGGATTGGGATCCGTGCCTTATGTACTTATATCTGAATTGTTTACCATCAATGTGAGTACTCGTTTGCTTTGCGTGTGCTTTACTACTTAATATTATCTAAGTATAATAGGTACTTACGTTTATTTTAATTTACAGGTAAGAAGCCTAGCATCCAGTCTCCTAATATCATGGATGTGGCTTAGCAGTTTCTTCATTCTTCGGTACTACGGCACCATCGCCGTCTCTGTAGGCCTTCACGGCACTTACTACATATGCGCCTCCATTACACTCCTGGGATCCTTGTATATATTCTTCATTATTCCTGAGACGAAAGGAAAAGCCCAAGAACAAATCGACGAGGCCCTTGATGGACCATTACTGGTGATTAACCGAAAGAGAAAGAACCGCGATCAACGATGACAGAGGATTCCAAAAGTATTTACAGTGTTCTTCTCATCATTATAAGCTGCTATGAGTTCATGATGCCCTGGTAGGGCGGGAGTTTGCCAAATGGAAGTCGCTCAATTATGTTAATGGCGATTGACAAACATATCGAGGTAAGAGTGTTCCGAAGCTAGAAATTAATGACAATGTTTTACAATGGTACGGTCGGTGGTGTAAGATGATAAATATTCATTATTATCTGCCCTATATATGTCTATTTTTTCTGTTAACGATAGAACAAAATCTTTTTAACGTTTTTTAGTTTATGAATTTTCTTCAAAGCAAAATTACAATCATTGTATCACTTCCATAACCTCATTCTTTCGATAAATAACACAATATTCGACAGATTAGTTTCTTATTTTTAAACAAAATAAATCATTGTTAGGTCATCATAAGGTCAGCCCCAAAAAAATTAATTAATGTGAAATGTTTGTGATAGTTATTTAAGTATTGGACTTAGTGTAATGAATGCACAAATATTGAATGTAAGTAGGTTTGGTGTGGTCATAATGAGAATAGATCATCTGTAATTAATTAATACATTTTAGGTGTTAAATTGGGACACTATCAAAATATTCCCGTGAAATGGCTTATTCACATAACTATTCGACTAGTTTCGAACCACGACAAGGGCTCATATTTAATACTACGCAATCATAATTTAGTTCGATTGTTCTTATTATGACCATTAATAAATGTTTATGTGTACACTTTTAAGTACTTGATCGTACTGCCAACAATATAGTTAAGTATATTATGTGTTCTACATGGCAATGTGTCTGTAAAGTACAATTGACAAATTTCAATCATGACCCACTTTGATACTAATTCGTTTGAAATAACGAAGATCAACAATTTTAAGGAGAAACATGTTTAAATAAATTACACTCTAATTATGGGTCATAATTCAAATGAGTCTTAATTATGACGATTATTATTAAAAATAGATAAATATTGATGAAATTGTTGTAATAATGAGAATTACTGTATTTTATAGCAGAAGCCGTGTTGTACCAAGTAGATGTTGCTCACACAATGTCAATATTGTATAAATAAGTGTGATAATATTTTTCTATTAGTCACTTTGTGATATTTGTATATTATTACATACCGACCGATTTGGAGAGTTCCCTTCATTTTACCAAGTTTTATAATTACATCTTTTTTTAACGTTGCCCCACACTAGGATTTTCTCCTGTGTCGTGTGTACGTTTACAAACATACAAGTTCACATACACATGACACTCAGACCCCAAAACAACAATTTGTGAATCGGACAAACAGTTGTTCCGTGCGGGAATCGAACGCGACCGCGCGGCAGCCGGTTGCCCAGCCATCGCACGGACCGAGCAGTCAACCAAGTCAGTTTAATCTATTGTTTAATTGGGGCATTTTTTGTCAATGGGGGCTATCGTTTTGTTGCTTACGAGATGACGCAAAAGTAGCAAGAAGTTTTTTATCCAATTACAGCAGCTGTCAAATATTGAACGTCCAATGGTGTAACACTAGCTAATTGGGTAGTTTCCAGGGTATCAAAATTAAAAATCTAATTAGTCCGTCAGTTACGTAATAAAAAAATATTAGACGTGACGTATTTTTTTATTTTCTCGTATTAAGTTGCAATACTTAGATAAAATGGCGCTAAGTTTAGGAGTGACAGATCGTTACGTCATAACGTGCTACAAAATGTGACACGCTGTGACGTCACACGATATTTCAAATTAATATATCGTCGAAAGTATTTAAACTGTCAAACACCAAGCGGTCACCGATGACCGCAACCTATTGTTCTATAATTGTGTCTACAAAACCGGTACTCGACGAGTTAATTATGTGAGAAAAGAAAAAATACGTTTCTAAAGTTTTAAATTAATGTACCAGATGGACATTAAAATAAAATTTAGGAAACTACCCTATTCTCTATCGGACGAAGAATGAAAGGTTCACATCAACTAGTAAACAGAAATGCAATAGCTCAAGTAAAACCACCAGAAAATCAATTACAATTTCGACCAATGCTAATTCAGTTTAGTGAAATAAGTCATCAAGTAATTGATTAAACGATAGTACTATATCTTTTATTTAATTATTTTAATTTAGCATATAAACTATTATATTGCATTCTTTGTGGAATCTCGAGAAAAAAATAATATTTTTATATTACAGTGATACTACCTAGATGTCACTTTTACTAAAATAAAGTGTGTACCTAATATGTTCCACCAAATCTTTCGCCTTGTAATAATACATAGAAGTTGAGAAATATAATTATATACCAAAGATTTTATTGGAAATGTTGCATAAAAGAAAATGTAGTTCTATAGATAAATTACACAATGAAATGATATTCGTGGACGAAACATTTGTACATGTACAGTGAAACTTGGTTAAGTGGGACCTGGATTAGTGAGAATCCTCCATAACTGGAACTCATGCTGAGGTCCCAACACTTTGGCACTGAATACTGAATTACCTCTGTTAGTGGGACGAGGTAAACCTCTATATCTGGGATTTGTTCTTTCGATTTATCATCATAGTTACCTCTATAACTGAGACAGTGAGTAAATTTTATATGCATAAACCTCTGTAACTGAGATAACATTGTTTGTTTACTCATTCTTATGCTACCCACAAATTCCACACGTAATTCCAAGTCCACCTCTATTAATCGAACCCTCTGTAAATGAGACAGATATTTATTTATACCTGTATATCTGAGACACTGGGTAAGTGGAATACCTCTTTAAGTGAAACGACATTGCAGGTCCCTTGTTGTCTCACTTAACCAGGTTTCACTGTATTTATTTTAGTTGGGCAAGATGAATATGTATCAATAGTACGTTCAATAGTTCATTTTAAAATAACTTATAACAGTTCCTCAGAGATATTTTTTTATGGTTGTATGAATTATTAAAGATAACATTAAAAATACAGAGTACAACAATTATTCAATATATTATTATGTTTTCGCATTTCGCGACCCGCTAGGCGGCGACTGTCGCGAAATGCTGCTTATGAATATGAGCCCCTAGTATGGCTTGAAACTAGTCGAGTTCCTCGTCAAATAATTACATGAGTAAGCCGAAAACATAATAATATTAAATATATTATTATACATAATAATATTAAATATATTATTATGCTTAATATTGAATGTCTCACGAAAGTTATAATACAAATAATTATTCAAAGCGTGTAACATCAAACTCCAAAATAAAATTCAGCTTTAGTGGCTTTACAAATATACCAGGATAACTAGTTATATTTTTTAAAATATAATTGCCAGTATGTAAGTACTATGTTCAGTGTGCCCAACTATGTCATACTGTTCAATTCGCACAAAGTGTGTACAAACATTATGTATATTCGTATACAGCGTGTATTTTAAGTGACTGCTTTCCCGAGGTAGAACGATTTGATCTCAGTGGGACTGTCTATCTTATATCTTATACTAAGATATATAAGCGGAAGAGTTTATTTTTTTGTTTGTTTGTTTGAACGCGCTAATCTCCGTAACTACAAGTCTGATTTGAACAATTCTTTAATTCTATAAACCATCACGCTAGGACCAATGGGAGCTGAGCAGAGCGTGTGAAACCGCACGGAAGTTAGTAGCTAGTTAGAATATAATTTTAATATAAACATTGATTTGAATTTACATTATGATGTACCTACTCATCATACGATGACGCATGCTGCAAGCTGGTTGCTAATATGATATGCGAGGGCAACGACGTCATGACCAGCCCAAACGCCTCCGCCCACATACATTTACATGGTAGGGACGATGACAATTTTTTTTAATTTCCTACCGGTAAATATATTGAAACACTTTGACTGCCAATACAAAATTGTTGTGGGCAAATTCTGCGCTAACGTCGGTCATACATTTTTAATTTTAATATTTTGACATCGTCCCTATTTATTACCATTGGTCCGAAGTCGATCACGAGTTATTTTTTTCACAATTATTATCATTTTTTAATCCATCAAATTAAAATGTATTGTGGTAAATAGGTTCAAATTATTTAGTTTCGGAAAATTAGTAATGTAAAATTCACGTTATATACTAATTATGTACATAGTTTAGGTAGCTCAATACATTAAATATAGACGGAAGATAATTTTTAGCCAAATTTTACGGAGATATAAACATATTTGTGGAATTGAATGTTAATATTATGTATTACATTTTGTATGGATGAATTAATTAAATGGCTTTAAATGTGATGTGTTGATTATTTCTTTTTTGTGTACCTATGTGTGTATTATACACAACTATTTGTTTCATAAATATAATTAGTCAAATATCATTAACCAAAAGCAACGGTTTACTCACGTGTATGAGTATATTGAGAAAACTCTATTAGTTTCGGGTCAAAGAGGGACTCATCCTCATGATTCCTATTTTTCTCATTTATTGATTTTTTAATTTCTAGTATTCTAGCTACAAACTTTTACTTTAACGCATTGGCTGCCGTGTCGGACAATGTTGTCCGACGCTAGCGGAGGATTAGCCTTTAACAGTTTTTGTCGGCAGTTAAAGGCTTAATTATATTTGAAAAGAAATGAAAAATTGTTTAATTTAGTTTATATTTTGTTCAGTTCTTTTTATCTTTCAATGCTTGACGCTGAGTGAACTGCACATGGACAGTCAAAATATCCATATTACACTTTAAACATATTATAAACGAGAACTCTCATACTTAATAATTTCCAAGAAATAAAACAATAATCGTTATTAGACATATACATTTTAATTTTCCATTATTATCTTTACAAATGCATGTAAATTACCTAGTGCTTACATTGAGATTCTTCGTTGGACAAAAATCTCCCTAATTACCGCAATATTTTAGTTCAAAATTCATTGTAAATTGTATAAAATATACTTGATATGTTTAACTTTGCCTCAAATAATGATTTTGATATAAAATTACATCTATGATTTTGTTTTGTATTCTTACAAATATAGTAGAAAATACAAATATATACAAATATAGTAGAAGGAAACCTAATCATCAACTTTTGTTTGCGATGATCGTGCATACATTTTTCTTTCTACCAAAACTCATAGTACTCACCGTCTATGATGTCCTAGTACTTCAAACATATTTTTACACAGCCTTTGTCACCAATAAAACATGAATCACAAAAAAACTTATTGACTGATAGGAAACAGTCTTCCTGCTCCTAAATTAATACAAATTCCAAAAATGCCCTGGTTAGTGGTTATCCCTATTTACAACGTCCTCTGCTGACCCCAATTTTATAAATTAACCATATCCGTCGCTAGCCCCGTGTTATTCGATGATAAGAACTACCTATTATAATCAGCATAATTTACACATAACGTATCATAGTTGAAATAATTTCAATAACATAATTTATACAGTAATGATTTTGTAGGAAAAACTAATAATTAGTAAAGCAGTCTGCTTATAAGTTATAAAATCAATATATAGACACACTCATTCTTAAAAGAATACAGAAGACTGCCACGAAATTGACTAACAATGAAAAAACTGCGTTCGATTGCTGCAGTACAATCCATTTGATGGCAACCCGACATTTTCTAGACACCTTCCAACATTTGGCATTCATAATCACAGTCTCACTAAACCCTGCATGATATCATCAAACAGCTTCTGAGTTAAAGGAACATATTCTCCGGTCTTTTGATCCATAAAATACATTGGATCGCTTACAATTTCTACATCAAAACCTTGTTCCATCAGCTCTTTCTTCTTGAGCTTAAAAGTGGCAGTAAGTGGTGATTCTGGCAAGATCCTGATGAAAAGAGGTCGAGCGAATACTGGCAGTGAGGAACGAAGACCTTTGGCTAGTGTGGCCAGGTCCAAAGTTCTCTCTGGATCAGCGATAGCTGCCATTCCTGCTTTTCCTTCTGTGTTAGGTACCTGTTGCAAAGAAAAATATGTTTACTAAAACTGCACTTTAGTCTATTAATCATAAAGGTGAATGTGTCTAGTCTCTCACTTTGACTCCGTAAACTACAGCATCTTTCAGTCCAACCAATGAACTGATGACTCCTTCTACTTCTGCAGTTGATACATTTTCACCTCGCCACCTGGAATTAATCATTTAAGGATTAATCATTTCAAAAGACATAAATAAT